ACGAGTGAAACAATTGCAGCAACGTGAATGTCTTTAATCAGTGCATATCAAATATTTAACGAGGCCTATATTTGTATAGCGAATGTATTTATTCTGTTATAAATAGCGTGTCTCCATAACTGTGAGACAACCAGTTAAATAACCTTGTTTTGTATTTCACTTTAAATTTCTTTCATTACGAAGTATAAACGATAATATATAATAAGACAATTTATGGAGAGTTCAGAAAAATGTTTCGTATATATACATACCAATCACATTTGAAAGCAAATTAACTACTCAATTTGTATTGGAAAAATGAAATTATATACGAATTTTTGAGTATTGAGTTACATTTAGTGGAAGGACTTAATATATCTCTATATAGCGTTTTTTTATATAAATAATTACATAAAATAACCTCGAAGCTTAATTTTCTTAACTCGTAAGTAATAACATGTTAAACTATATACATACTTATATATTTTTAAATGCAAAAATAAATCATTCATTAAAGTGCTAAATTACGATTGAAAATGTTTAGTTTTATTACACGAATTGATTAAAATAGCTGCCTGACCAGTACCATGGAACTTTGAAATCGGATCTTTACGATGGCATTATATCTTTATCTTTTTAGTCAAGGCAAAAAAATATATTTTGAATTATCATGTTTTTAAATATCCAAATAGATTAAAATGCATCGTGTCTAGATTACGATCGCCGTGGGTCATCGACATTCCCATTCATGGCGACCAAATTAGATATGTTATCAGTGGCTTCCTTTTCACGGGTTTCATTAGATAACGATATCATCCACATACATTAGTACCGACAATGAGATACGTTTTATTCACTCCATTTTATATTATTCCGTTGCTTGTCAAATAGCTTGCAATATAAGATTAAAAACATTATCGTTTCACTGTTTTATTTCATGAATGAAATGTGTTAAATTCATGATGATTACATATTAAATTATCGTTTTTCTTTCATAAGGACACGTATATGATTTCTGTGATATGAAAATTTATGTTTTATCTTCATAGTTATCACGATACAGAGAGAAACTTCGACGTTATTAAATTTCTTCTAGTCATCTTCCCTATTTAGAAACAAGTATGTTATCTACGCAAGCGAACAGGTAAGTCTAAGATCCATCGATATATCTGTCATATGACTGTTGCGTGCACATATCAAATAAACAGAGCAGAGCTCGCCGGCCTGACCCCTGATAACTGGAGACGATAATAGACAGTTTTATCACCGCGTCTTGATACACCGCCACATAATGATACCCACTACTTGCGTCTATCACAGTACGTACCAGCTACATCCTACATTCGGCGTATTTATCATGAGTTTAGTAGACAAATTATTGTTATACCGCTACATGGTAATTGATAATAATCGTATCCAATGTAAATAAAGCTGTTGGCTGTTGACTAATTTGGTGATATTTAATTGGGTTAACTGATATCGTGGTGCATTCGGTCTTAATATTACTGGTTATGTTTTAAGAAAGTTGACAAACATGTTGGGCATGTTATATGTATACTTCATTATAATTTTAAATTATACATACAAATAGCTAACATACAAAACTATTTATATCTAAAACTGATTATAATTAAACATTCCTACATTTTTATAAACACACATCGGCATGGCGTGGTGTTTTAGTGAGTTTATTAATAAAATATCTAACAGTTAGTATAAATAAGTGACTTGTTATATTTGTATAACGCGTTCGCACGTTCTGGTGCGGCGGTTTTGTCAATTCGATCAAATCTCTGCCAAGACCGAAGCCGGAACTCTGGACGCCTCCTCTTTGATCCGATGTGCAATAATATTGATCGATATAAACTCACCGTATAAATAAATAAATCTTTGAATATTTTCATTAATGACGCGGCTTTCATTACATTATGTTCTAATTAATCTGTTTGTTAGTTTTCTGTGGGACGGAACGGGACGCTGGAAATTTTACGTTACACGACCCGTTTTCAAAATTTAAATTATTATTTGTATTTTTATTCATTATTAAAATTTGATACAGCTAGTCGATATGATAACTTTTAAACTGTTAATGTGATAGGTTGAAAAATAATTATAAATAATGAAGACTCAAATATGGAAGATATAATAATACGATTCAATATGATTAGGCATCGTACCTAGGATCAAACTGAATTGGTTTTAACTTTAAGTTGACATACTTGGGTAAGATCAAGTAGAGCTATAAAAAGATAGTGAATGCACTCTAACAAGACCCCTGTTAGTGGTTCGTTAAATATATCATTATAATTATATTACATAATATTTCAATTCTATTCTAAGACTTGACGAGTTTGATAAGAGTAAGAAACCATACGAAGTCTAAACTTTGTAAACCAAATTAATATGAATATTATATGTTATATGGGAAGAAGTTATGTGTTTTAATGTAAAATTAGATGTTTATAGATTCAATGATATTGTGCATGCCCGATGCTTTCAGCGACTGTCTTTAACCAGTACATTCGATCTTAACAAATAAAGGCAAGTTATTTTTGGTATAAACGCTAAATTAGCTTAAAATTATCTTGAGTTTTAGTGAAATTTCATGAAGTCTTTCTATTGTAAGGGATATATGAATTTCTCCGTACATCAGTAAATGGTGAGTCCATCGTAATGTATCTAGCCTCTAGGAGTGTGTCCGCTGTAAAGTTCCACTCAAGGCAACTCGACGTCTCCCAAAGGACGGAAACAAGTTTATTTATATATATCGGAAGGTCGACACAGGTTTAATTTCAATAAGTGAAAAGAAGGTGACTGAGGTTTCATTTTTTAACCAACTTCTTCAGAACTCGGTCACTTTTACTGTTTCGTAATTTTATACCTTTACATAAATCATTAAGCTTTCTGTATAAGTAAATGAATTTAAATGAAACTAATATTTTTGGGATTTTTTATTATTTTAAACTACTTACTCCCGACGTTTTAGTTACTTTGCAGCAACCGTGATCACGGACAGACGAAATGAAAGTCTTACATCTCATTATTCTGTAATTCTCTATAATATGTGATAGCTAGCGTGTTATGCCCCATGTATTAGGTAATTCAAACTTATTGTCCCATAACAGTTAACTTGTTTTATCATAATCTAGATATGAAATAAACAAGTAAGGTAGGTTGTGATGAAGACATCACACAACGGTACATATTTATCAGTATTCATAACGCTAGTGTCACTCAAACATTCAGTTTACTTTAAACGTATGATTCTGCGTCATTTTGATAGTTTTATTTTTTAATTTTTCGTTTTTTAAAGACGCGAAATCCGCGAACGTGGGTATAATAGGACTTATATATACTTTTAAATTATAATAAAACATGTGTATTTGTTTTCCGTAGACAATTTTAAAACATGGTTCATCTATCTTTATTCCAATTCGATTTTAAATATCGATTCTGTTAAGTCAGAGCGCAAATTATTCCCTCAACGTTTATGTTCTCGTATATAAAAAAATAATATAATAAAAAACAATTCTGCATATAAATATATTTACGAAGTCTTTTCACGTGAGAACTTGGTACTATGACAGTGATGTCCAAAAATGTAAAACAATAATAAGAATTATTCTTAAAAGATATAATTATAATTAGTAAATAATAAACTTATCAATTAAGACTTAAAAATATTATGTATAATGAAAAAGATACACAAACAATCGCATGGACAATTTTCTATTTAATTATATTATTATTTAATTATAATGATTTTCATTAACGATTACAAAGTATATACATATAAGCATCTACCTTATCACGATCCATCTGTGTGTTTGTCGCTTCCCTCTCAACAACAGACAGTAATATATAATATGAATACTAGTTTATATATTACGACGATTTTAAACACAATTTCACACGTATTAAGTATATTCTGAAATAAATCTTATCTTAGTTCTATTAATAAATTTAATTATTGTAAATAGAATAATCTACAATTGTAAAAATAAGATATCAAATACGAATAGTTTAAGAGAAAGTTTCTATTAACAAAAAACAAAGCTAGTACGTATTTATTGTTGTTTATTTTTGTTTTCTGGTGAGTATGATAACAAGATGTACATACCTCTCGCCACATTCGCCTGGCTCATCGGAGGCCCGTTCACTTTGATCCGTCTCCCATCGGCAGTACATTTTAATAGCATAATTCCAATTCTTGCTCACGTGGTCCCCATTCAACATATTATAACATTAGAAACAGTTCTTAATAAATTATAAACACTCATTTACTACATAATCTTTGGCACAAAGCGATTGGACGACTCTATTGACGTCAAAGTCAATTCGAAACAATTCAAATCGACCCAAAACTTGTTATCTTAGTCTTTGGCAGCAATTAAACTACAAATATTATATACAGTAATGTTCACTTCACTTTCACTGAACACACAGGTAGAAAATTGGTTTAATTTTTATTTAAAGCACACTATAATTAAAATGTGCGACTTGTATACAATTCACTAGTTATACCTTGATCCGTACAACATCTGTGCACAGTCAAGACCACAATCTCGTATCTGCGATACTATTTCCTAATCAGTCAGTCAACAGAATGAAACTGTCGCGCATTGCGAAGTCTAAACGATTAAGCCCACTTTCAAGTTTCAGTGTCACTTTAAATGTCAAAAACTGACAATATGTCGACAATGTTATAATGAAGAATATAACAAAAATATGGTTTATGTGACGAGATTTGATTTGAACTAATAAAATATAATTATTTAGATTCAAAAATTATAAAAAGAATTACACACTAATTTATTTTTATTATAAATAAATATAAGAGAACCTTCATATCACCTTAAGATGTTTTGAATTAATCTGTTACTTTTTAGTCTGTATGTGCATACGAATATTTACAAGCGGCGGGCTCACCATTTTCTTGATATCCTAACGTTTATTATTAATAATTATATTGATATTTATTTCAAGAAGTCTTATTACTGCTTTAAATTTTTGTTAATACGATGGGCAAAGATAAAAAAAATGAGACCAGTGAGGGTTCAAGTGAAGAAGAGTACGTTGTTGAAAAAGTCTTGAATAAAAGAACTGTCAAGGGAAAGGTTGGTTTGTTTTAAAATGGGTAATTCTGTTAAACTATTTGAAAGTATCTATATTTTTGAGCTTAAAGACTAAAAGAGGGTTACGACTACTAAATATTAAAGATTATATAGAGAATAATAAACTCTAGTTGTACTTAAAAAACTGACAAAGCATTACGCCGGTAAATCAATTTATTTGTCCCTCATTCTGTTAATGTAATATCTAATATTAAAATTATCATAAATTTATTTTTCATAACAGCTTTTAGCGTTATATACGATACTTTAGAGTGTAATAATCAAATTCCAAGTTTCCTCTAGTACAAATCTGTTACATTGCGTCTATTCAGGTCTTTAAGAATATTTTTTTTGATAGCCGTTTACTAGTGTTAACGGAGGCCATACTTTTAAAATTTTCATTAATGATTTCATTTCATATTTCAAAGATACTATAATATATTAATTTTCTTAACTTGGTTTCATATTTCATTCTTCATAACACTTATCTATACCAGTTTTTCGTTAGCAACTATAACAGTGCAGTAAATGTACTTAGAAGTTTATAAAAAACCGAGATGGGTTTTGTAGGTCCAATATCTTTTAAAATGGAAGGGCTACAAGGAAGAGGAAAGCACTTGGGAACCTGAGGAACATTTAGACTGCGAAGAACTCATAAAGGCCTTTGAAAATAGCAGAAAAGAGAAAGAGGTATGATATATGTATATACATATTATGTAGTGGGATTTAAAATTTATTTAGTAAGTATTTATTACTAATCCTTGAAAATCTCCTTGTAACTTATAGGCGAAGCCAAAGAAAACGGAGGAACGAAGTAAAAAACGTCGTCGTGACTCAAGTGACGATACAAGCACAACGGGAAAGATACGCGAGGCCAGTGTGTCCTCGGTCGAGGAACAGAAAGAGTCGCGCAAGGAAAAGAAAGATGATAAAAATAAGTCCGGCTTTGAGAAAGGCTTGAAAGCTGAGAAAATTATTGGTTTGTGACTGAAACTTATAATAATATATATACTTATTTGAACTTAAGTGTTCATATAGAATAATAATAATGTATGGTCTTTATTCAGATCAAATATAATGGATTTTGAAACTTATGTAAAGAACTAACACTAAAATCTTAAACTTGATAGATATAAAGAAATTTTGACTGATATTTTTTGCCTGTATCTCTTGTTTTTGGAAAGAAAAGATTATATTCCATAGAATACTTGGGAGTAAATGTAATATATGTAGTATATTTGGTATTTTTAGGAGCGTCTGATGCCACCGGTGAACTAATGTTTTTAATAAAATGGGCCGACTCTGATGAAGCTGAACTAGTCCCCTCTAAAGTTGCCAACGTTAAGTGTCCCCAACAGGTAAAGTATTTTACATTGACAGCTTTGAATGTTCTTTTTGATAATAAATCTTGATTCTTGATCTATGGGGTAAAGCTAAACTCAAGATAGAACCTACAATGTTCTTTAAAATGGTTTAAGAAATAACTTAAAAAATGTTGGTCTACGGTTTTTTTGTACTGATTTGTATGAATAGTGTAACAATATGGTATTTATATCTTAATTTCAGGTTATAGCATTCTATGAAGAGCGGCTGACATGGCACAGTCCAGCCGAGTCTGAGTGAATGAGAACATGCCCGTGTCAACATTCAGAGACTATGTGTAGTGGCTCACGAGTGAGGAAATGATTTAGGCAAGAAATGTTAAGTGTATTGATTAATGGAACATAAGAAGTTATGTTTTTGAAGCTCATAGTTTTAATGAATTCCCTGTTACTTATTTGAACTATTTGATTTTTTACTTTTGCTCCCTCTGATTTAATTATCCAATTATTTGATTTTATAAATTTAGACTGAAGTGTACCAATTGAAAATTTTGTTCTCTTAGTGTAGAAAATAATATAGATTAATGTATAATTAAAAGTCAGTGTTGTTTGTGCCACAAATACTGTATTTTGTTCTCAGTGGAAGCGCTGGTGGACTCTTAAATATTGATCTTGTTTTTTAAATTATATCATATGTGTAGTTTTTATGTGATTGGTTTTAATAGACTCAGCTGCCCCCGCTGCCACTTTCACTCGATACCTACACTATTGATAATTTTGTTAACATAATTCAATATTGAAGAAACGAGTTTATGATTATTCAAAAATATTAAATAATAATTGTGATCTAGAAAGTGGTATTATTTTTATTCACCTTTAAATTTCAGTGTATTACAAAACTCATTTGGGTTGGAATTATTTTATTTCTTAAAAATTACACTGCTTTAAAATTAATGTAAATAATTTGAATCTTAAGTATAAGATGACAATTTTTCTTGAGACTCATTGAATGTGGTGATAATATGAATTAACCCTTTGTAGCCTCGTGTGACATTTCTGTAACAAACCTCAATAATCCCGCTAAAATATATACTAAATATTTTATGTTCATTCAAATCAGTGTTACTGTATTGTAACATACCAAACCAAACATTTTAGTATCAAGTACAAATCATAGATGGCGTAACTTGTTGATTATAGGGAGTTTGAATTACGTCCGTCGATGGAAGTGACAGGTTGAAACTCGTTGAGAGTTTGAATTTTATAAAAATATACTAAAAGTGTATAAAATTGTATTGTTTTCGTCGAAACCTATAGGTAAGTGAATGATTTTGTTCATATATCGTTATCAAAGCATATTTTTGCTTTTTTTATGTAAAAAAAACGTATCAATATATGTTTGTAACATTTCTGTTACATTGAAATATTGATTGAAACTAAAGTATTTGGATATTGATATAAAATTATGCCATTATTTTAGAATGGGGTCACACACACTGAGGGATCGTGAAATAGATGACCTATTGCACCAATATGATAGTGAAGACGGATTAGAAGACGATGATGACAGCGTCATTGATCCAGATTTTCAGCCGTTATTAGAAGATTTAGAAATATTTTCTGATTGTGAAGAAGATACTGCAGTTGATATAGATTCAATTATCGAAGAATCTGAACGCAGTGAGCCTGTTGCTGGCGCCTCGTCTTCAGATCCTGGACAGCAAGAGAGCCATTCAAATAAAGCTACCACTAATAAAAAAGGAAAAAAGCGACAATTACAATGGAAAAAGAAAAACCTAGTTCTAAACGACCAGCAGTTGCGATTTACAGGAAATACTACTTTACCACCTAATTTACTTGAGCTTGATACACCAATTCAATTCTTTTTATATTTTTTTCCCAAAGAATTGATAACTTTTATTACAGCACAAACAAATCTCTACATAATACAAAAAAATCCTAACCAATCCTTTCAAATTACCGATACCGATATCCAGCAATTTATTGGAGCAACTTATCTGATGTCATTGATACAATTGCCAAGAGTAACCAGTCATTGGAACACAACTATTGGTACACCCATGATTCAAGAAATAATGCCGAAGCAAAAATTTGAAAAAATTAGACAGTATATCCATTTCAATGACAATTCTAATTTACCCCCACGTAATTCAGCTAATGGTGACAGGCTTTTCAAAATTAGACCTATCGTAGAAACTTTGAATAGGACTTTTAGTACAGTTCCATTGGAGACATACCTTTGTGTGGACGAACAGATTTGCTCCACTAAGGCAAGATGTAATTTGAAAAGATACAATCCCAAAAAACCACACAAATGGGGTTATAAGATTTTTGTACTAAGTGGGGTCTCAGGTTTTGCCTATAAAATTGAACCTGAAACAAGAGCTGAAAATGTTGTGCTTCCTGATGAACCAGATTTAGGAGCATCTTCAAACGTAGTCGTCAGAATGGCGCGGGGCATACCAAGGCATCAGAATTATCAACTTTATTTTGATAATTACTTTACTTCCTTGGCATTACTGGAGTACTTAGCTAAAGAGGGTATATTGAGTCTTGGGACAGTACGACGCAATCGTATTCCAGATTGTAAACTACCCGCTGACAAGGAAGTAATGAAAAAAGAACGCGGATTTTCAGTTGAATATGTAGCGAATATGGACGGAATTGATGTGTCAAACGTTATATGGAAAGACAATAAAGTTGTAACGCTTGTATCATCTTTTGCTGGTGAATTGCCAAAGGCCCAAGTTAGACGATACGATAAGGCCAATAAGAAGTATATCAACATTGATCGCCCTCATGTTGTCGGTGAATATAATCGGCATATGGGAGGCGTAGATTTGATTGACAGCATTATGGGAAGGTATAAAATTTTGACACGAAGTAAAAGATGGCAGGTTCGGATGTTCTATCATTTATTAGATCTGACTATGGCCAATTCTTGGCTATTATATCGAAGAGTAAGGCAGGCAAAAAATTGCAGTGACAAACAAATGTCTTCAGCAGATTTTCGCCTTGAGATCGGTGAGACTTTATGCAAGATGGGTTTGAAACCTAATATCAAGCACCGAAGGACGATCGAAAATGAAATCCAAGCCAAAAAACATAAAGGGCCAGCGCAACATGTCCCCCCACTGGCAGTAAGGCAGGATCAAATTGGCCACTGGCCGATTTGGGTAGAAAAAAGGGTTCGGTGCAAATTTCCCAAATGTACTGGTGTATCACAAACGATTTGCGAAAAATGCGGAGTAGCGTTATGTTACAATAAACAAAATAATTGTTTCAGATCCTTTCATACCACATAATTACATTTTCTGTTAGTTTAACCCAATGTTACAGTAATGTTACATTCCCTAAAATGTCAAATAAATAAAAAATAATAAATATTTTTTAAATTTTGAGAAATACGTGTTTTTTTATTTGTTTAAACCTGTCTTATCCCAAAGTAATTTAAAATAGTATGATCTTGGGCTACAAAGGGTTAAAGTTGACAATGTGCAGTACAAAGAAGAATATAAAAGTTTGATCATAAAATCTATTTAATAAATGAAGGAAGATAATAAACATTTTTGAAAGTACGATTAACATTCAAAGACTAAAATTATATTACGTAATAAATAGAACACCCCATACACTTGTATGTGGCCGAAATGATTTTTCAGATATTAAATTTAAAAAGAAATAATTCACATATAATGCAATCATTTACAGTCCGGGAGGCAGCGGCTATTTTGGTTAGTGTTTTTATGCCGATCTTTACTTCACAATACTAGTGAAGAAGCTCTTTCTAATAACGAAAGTGAAGGTCAGCTGACGCACCAGCGGGGGCGTTTGCTATGAGACCCCATAGAACACGTCAAAAAAAAATCTAAAAAGTATTTTATTCCACATGAAATTTTTTTCACGTGTTATTTACATTGATTACAATTAAAAGAAAGTAGTCAGCTGCACGACTAAGGGTGGATTATGCGTCAGCTGAGCGTGCGAACTAGCCAAAAATAAAATAAAATAAAATTATTTTATGCCGATTGAATTTTTTTTACATGATTTTAGACATTTACAGAAACTTGATATTGATAATCAGCTGCATATATAGTGGGGGAAAAAACGTCAGCTAGAGCAGGAATGTATGACTGCGCGCATATATCTCTATGACTCGCGGAATTTTCAATGCTCCGACTGACGCCTTTTTCCCCAACGGACAATCAGCTGACGAATATTTTTTGTATCTATATATTAACACTATAATATTTACAACGAGAAGAATTTATAACTGAATGTTCTGCAGATGATGAAAGATTGGAAAAAGTCATCAAACGAAATAAAATTCTAAATTTTAGGACTGCCGCACCAAAACAAAAAAATGTCTGTTGCTGGAAAATTACTATCAATTCAAATGCAACGTGACTTATTTGGTCAATTATTCTCGCTATCTTTAGAACAAACTTTGAATGTAGATAAAGTTTTAGCCTACCCTTTAACACCAGTTCCTTTAGCTTTATGCCACATAGATGGGACAATATGCAAAACAGACAAATCCGCACTGTTGAAGATGCTTGAAAAGGAGATCGACAGCAACCCACCAGAACGATGCGACGTTATTGTTTATGACGGATTTTTCATCATGCATTCAATCAGGGACGTACCATCGTCCTTTGAAAACATATCAAAAAAGTTGTTGCAAGTTTTCACTGCGAATAGTGCTGACACTGTAATAATTGCCTTTGATAGATATATATTTCCATCGATAAAAGACAACGAACACTCATTAAGAAAAGGAACCAAAGGACAGCGTTTCCATATAAATGGACCTGATCAAATACGGCCATCAAATTTCGCGGACGCATTGAAAAATATCTACTTCAAAGAAGCACTCGTTGACTTCATTATTGATGACTGGGCGAACGATTATATGGCACCATTCATCGGTAGCAAAACAATATTGGTCAACTACCTACAATGCTATCAATATAAAGTATGTGAAGGCAAAGTGCAAAGAACACCAGAGTTATCGTTGGCATGCCCAGGTCACGAAGAAGCTGACACAAAAATTGTTTTTCACGTTTGTCACTTGACTTCTGATGCTCACGTTACTATTCGCTGTTCAGATACAGACATTTTAATTATTATGTTGGCAAACATGAATTCTATACAGACCGATTTGCAAATCTCGATGCACGTTGGGACCGGAAACAATCAAAAGTTTATAAATGTCACCAAATTGTCTCAAACGTTGGGTCTAGATTTGTGTTCAGCATTGCCAGCATTTCATGCCATGAC